TCCCCCTGTGGGAGCGCACTGACCACCAGGGGGCAGCTCCTGTATTGAGCGTCTGCCCCCTGGTGGTCAGTGTGTGTCATAGTGACCAGTCATTCCCAGTCGTTCTGCTGTTAGGGTCAATTTGCATATTACCCTTCTATTATATAGGATATATATATATATATATCGTCTCACTGTCTAGCTATATATCCATTTATTCATCCACCTACTCATCCATCTACCTTCTATCACATATTTCTCACTAACAAATATCTATCTAATTACTACCTACCTACCTACCTATCATCTATACTCTACCTTGGCTCGATTATGCACCTATATTTATGACTATTTCTTGTCCTGTATGTGAATGAGAAACTGCCCAGCTCACACCCCTGCTAGAGACACACAATTGTCTTTTCCTGCCTTTATTTTTCTTCCTACCTGTCCGCTCACAACCAGACTTTCAAACATTTTCCAACTACAGAAGAGCCCAAAGTGAGTCCATGTTGAACTTCGATGTTGAAGGAAAAGAAAAATATTTGCTACTCCATTTTTGTGCCCTGGCTTATCGTTTCAAATGAAAAATGACTTCATGGTCTTTGTGATAGGTGATCACCTTATGTGTTACGTGTGTGTGTGTTTAATTTCAGGGAAATGGCATCAGGGCTTAAACTGTCACTACCGAAATGACCATTGCCGCCATCCGTCTCACTATGGGTTCGATTACTTCTACGGCATGCCGTTCAGTCTGTACGACACGTGCTGGCCCGACCCTTCCCGGGACGCAGAATTAGCCATCAGCGGCCGACTCTGGTTCTGTGTGCAGCTGGTCGCCGTGGCTGCGCTCACCCTCGCTCTCGGGAAACTCGGGCGCGTGCTCTGCGTTCCCTGGGCCCTCATCCTCTCCCTGGTCCTATTCATCCTTCTCCTGGGCCACTTCTGGTTAGACAGTTACCAGTCGACCCTGTACTGGAATTGCCTCCTCATGAGGGAGCAAGAAATTACCGAGCAGCCCATGAAGGCGGAAAGGGCTGGGTCCATCATGGTGAAGGAGGCGATTTCGTTTTTAGAAAGGTAAAGATGATTTTTTATTTGTAGATTCATGAAAAGATAAGAGAATGAGTATCTATCTATATAAAAGTCTAATTGACGGATCGTCCTGTCCGACCGACCAACCAACCAACCAACCAACCGGCCAGCTGGTACATACGATGCGCACTGGCAATTTAAAAATAAATATTGGCTCTCCCATACGAGACACATATAAAGTGTTTCTACTCTTAATGTGGTAAACAGGAAGACATTAGAATACGTTTAATCAATTTATCAGTCATTGATTTTTTGAAAAATTTTTGATGATTTTTATTTTTTAAATATATTTTATTGATTTTTTTTACAGAGAGGAAGGGAGAGGGATAGAGAGTTAGAAACATCGATGATGAGAGAAACATTGATCGGCTGCCTCCTGCACACCCCCCACTGGGGATGTGCCCGCAACCAAGGTACAATGCCCTTGACCGGAATCGAACCCGGGACCCTTCAGTCCGCAGGCCGACGCTCTCTCCACTGAGCCAAACCGGTCAGGGCATCAGTCATTGATTTTATCAATGTTGTTTTCATACCATGTTTTGTTTTTATATCATGTTTTTTATATCATGGCTTTGTTGTTGATATATCATGTGGTTATTGTTTATTTATTAATCAATTTATATATTATTTTCGTATACTTTTTACTAATATTCTTTCATCTCTGACACTTCTATTATAAAGAAAGGGCGAATAGCGATATTAACATATTTCTTCTAATTAATTTCCTTTCAATGTGCACGAATCCGTGCACCAGGCCACTAGTTATATATAAATATATTTTTGGTGGGTGGCAGTATATTTAGTTTTTAATATATTTTTGTTGATTTCAGAGAGGGAGACGGAAAGATAGAAACATCCATGATGAGCCCTAACCGCTTTGGCTCAGTAGATAGAGCATCGGCCTGCGGACTCAAGGGGACCAGGTTCGATTCCGGTCAAGGGCATGTACCTTGGTTGCAGGCACATCCCCAGTGGGGGGTGTGCAGGAGGCAGCTGATCGATGTTTCTCTCTCATCGATGTTTCTAACTCTCTATCCCTCTCCCTTCCTCTCTGTAAAAAATCAATAAAATATATTTTTTAACAAAAGAAACATCCATGATGAGAGAGAATCATGATTGGCTGCCTCCTGCCCGCCCCCTACTGGCGATCAAGCCTGCAACCCGGGCCTGTGCCCTTTGACTAGAATCGAACCCAGGTCCCTTCCGTCCACAGGACAAAGCTCTATCCAGTGAGCCAAATTTGCTAGGGAGGGAAGGCACCCTTGGCGAAACTATATCTTGCCTGAATCTTCAACGATCAGTTACAGCGAGCTGAAGGAAGGCGTGAGCATCCATTCCAGGGGGAAGTTACAGCAGGAGGAAAAGTTGGTGTTTGCAAGGATCTGTGAGCAATTTGGTCTTGGCAAGAGATATGCCAGAGGAAATGTCAACCTCTTTGACTGTTACATAGACTTGAGTAAGGATATAAAGGATTTTTTTTTTTGGTCCCAAACATCAATGCCTTTCTCTCTCTCTCTCTTTTTAAATTACAGTTGACGTACAATATGTTGTTAGTTTCCAGTGTACAACATAGTAATTTCCCCGATACTTGGCACCATCCATAGTTATTACGCTGTTCTTGACTATATTCCCTGAGCTGTAATTTACATCTCCATGACAACGGTGTAACTACCAATTTTTATTTCTCCAGCACGTCACCTTTTTTTCCACCCAACCGACCAACACCTCTCCTCTCTGGCCACCATGGGTCTGTTCTCTGTATCTGTGGCTCTGATTCTGTTGTGTTTGTTTGTTTGTTTCTTTTTTAATTCAACTTATAAATGAAATCACATGGTGTGTGTCTTTCTCCGTCTGACTCAAGTCACTTAGCAGAATACCTTCTTGGTCCATCCATGCTGTCGCAAATGGTAAGATTCCCTTCCTCTTTTTTGGGCTAAGTCATGTTCTATTGAGTATATGTACCACTTCTTCTTTATTCAGGGACCTGGAGGAATCTGATCATTAGCGTCGTCTTTACGCCACAGCCCAGGTGGAGACGACACCCAGGGAGCGTGTGGGAGAAGGAGGACCTTATTTGCCTTGTATATGCAGCTCTATGGCTGGTTTCGTGTTGGGCCAACTCCTCCATTGCCTGGCGCCCTTGCCAAGTTCTAGAAGGATTGGCCAAAAGCACCTCAGCTGGCCCTTTAGATATATCAGATGGAAACTGGTGTGACCTCATTCCTTATTAGTATATTAGTTTACTCATATGCTAATACATATATATTACTAATAAACTAATGTATATTAGTTTCCTAGGGCTTCCCAAAAAAATGTACCCCACACAGGGTGACTTCAACCAATAGGAATGGACGCTTTCTCTCACATTCTGGAGGCCAGAAGTTTCAAATGACAGTGTCTGAGTGGGCGGGACACAGGACTGAGACTTCTGAACCAGGGGAAAGTGTGTCGAGCACAGCAGGATTTGAGTTTTAGCTCCGGGGTGATTTCTGAGTGCGTAGGGGCCGACCCTAACTCGAACCCGAACCCTGAATCTAACCCTAACCCGGACACCAACCCTACCACTGACTCTAACCCTAACCCTGACTGTAACATTACCCTAACACGAACACTGACCCTAACTCTAACCCTAACCCTAACCCTAGCCCTGACCCTGACCCTAACTATAACCCTAACCAAGACTGTAACTATGATCCTAACCCTAACTATACCCCTGATCCTGACACTAACCCTAATCTGTCCCTTACCCTACCCCTAACCCTAACCCTAACCCTAATGCTAGCCCTAACCCTAACCCTAATGCTAACCCCAACCCTAATCCTAACCCTAATGCTAACCCTAACCCTAACCCTAACCCTAACCCTGACCCTAACACTACCTCCTCTTATGGCTTCTGGTTTTTGCCAAAAACCCTTAGTGCTCTTGGCTAGTGGCCACATCACTCCCATTTCTCCCTCTGTCTTCACAGTCCTCCTTTCCCCTCCATGTGTCTGTGTAGCTCCTCACAGCCCTCTTCCTATGAGGACACCCGTGGGCTCTGAGCCCACCCTACCCCAGTTAACCTCTTCTTAAGGAATTCTATCTCCCAAGACCCTATATTCCAAATAAGATCACATTCTGAGTTTCTATGGGGACCACTTTGGAGGGACCCCTTCAACCCAGTCAACCATGGCCACACTCCTTTTTTTCTATCCTTCTAGCTTATTTTTTCACCCAGTCTTCACACACTGATATCTCACCAGACAGAGCAGAAATTTCCCCAAGACTGGGATGGTGTTGTACGCTGCCCTGGTTAGCTGAGGACCTATCTTTCCTGCAGACCAATTGTCAGGACTTGGAGGGGTCAACCTCATTCCCTGTGTCCTCAAATGGGAACCAAAGGTGTGTGGACAGATTGCCAAGATCTATCTGTCCGTGCTTGCTCTTGGGTTGTGAAAGCGCTGATGTTTCTGAGGAACCACTCCGGTCAGACCGTCTCTTGTGTGTGTCTTGGGGTGTGGCTGTAGTCTGAGATCTGGTGAGCCCTGGGAAAGTGCTCCCAGCAGAGCTGGACTTGAGTAATAACCCTGTGTGACCGCTGAGAGCAGTATGACCTACCCACGTCCTGGCACCTGAGAGGTGGCATCACCCCAAGATTAGAGGCCGAGGCTGGAGGCTGGAGGATTCTGGAATCCATTCCAACCAGGAGCGTCTGTCAAAGGGGCTGCCTTTTGCGTGTGTCCCCTCTCATGGGTCGTGACACACACTGGGTCTGTGTGTCGGAGAGCAATGCGGTTCCCACTCCCAGAGGTTGGGACCTCACTCGCGATGGGCTCGATGTCTTCTCAGGCACCGCGAAGGACCCTTCCTCCTCTTTTACTCGTTTCTTCACGTCCACACGCCTCTCCCCACGACCGACGACTTCATTGGCACCAGCAAGCACGGCTTATACGGGGACAACGTGGAGGAGATGGACTTCTTTGTGGGTAAGTGGCAGGATGGACCGTAGAAACATCAGCACGAGCATAGGAGGAAGTCCATGTTCACACTGACTTGACCATAATCACCTCCTCAACATGGGATGTTGATGGAGAAACAGTGGACTCACATAGGATTCTCTTTTAAAAATATATATATTTTATTGATTTCAGAGAGGAAGGGAGAGGGAGAGAGAGAAATATCAATTTTGAGAGATCAGTCATGATTGGCTGCCTCCTGCATGCCCTCTACTGGAGATCAAGCTTGCAACCCAGGCATGTGCCCTTGACCGGATTCAAGCCCAGGACCCTTCAGTCCACAGAATGACGCTTTATCCACTTAGCCAAACAGGATAGGGCATAACTATTCTTTTTTAAAAATATGTAGTTTTATTGATTTCAGAGAGGAAGGGAGAGAGAGAGAGAAAGAGAGAGAGAGAGAGAGAGAGAGAGAGAGAGAGAGAGAGAGAGAGAAACCTTCGTGATGAGAGACAATCATGGATCGGCTGCCTCCTGCACGCCCCCTACTGGGGATCGAGCCCACAACTATGACCTCCTGCTTCAAAGGTCAACACTCAACCCCTAAGCAAAACCCACTGGTCTTACACACTATTCTTGGGGTGTAAGATTTGGGGCATCTTAGAAGAGAAACATATTTGCAACGAATCCCAAAGGAATGTGCATGCATTGGGACTAACACAGATGCCCAAAGCTTATAATTTTATTTGTTTTATGGGTCCTTTTTTTATTGTTTCAGGCAAACTCCTTGCTGCCATTGATGATTTGGGGCTGAGGAATCACACGCTTGTCTACTTCACGTCAGACCACGGGGGACATTTGGAGGCCAGGCTGGGCCACGCCCAACTGGGTGGATATAATGGGATATTCAAAGGTGAGCAGGGAAGATCATACCTGGGGTGTCCTTGTGACTACGGTAACTTGTTCATTGTAATGCAAGATCCGTGGCATGAAACACGAGATGAATGATGCATGAAACACTCAACAAGATGATTGTTTATTGGACGCTTGGTCAAAACTAAAGCGTAGGGTCCCAAACCCAAGGATATTGACCTTAAATCGCTAACATTTCGAGACAATACCCTAGACACGGGCCTCCCTGAGAGTCCTATGCGTGAAAGAGTGTTCACATAAGCAGATGACTTGAGGGAGGCATTAAATGAGTCGAATATCTAGTCATTGATTCCATCCACAAGATGGAATTAGAATAAGAAGAAATGTGGTCTACAGAGAGGGCACATAGAAGTCTCCTTGGATGTTTAGAAAGCTTTGGGTTCCCTTTCCCAGAGATATGGCCCAGCTTCTCTGAGATTTTCATTTTTAAAATATTTTTATTGATTTCAGAGAGGAAGGGAGAGGGAGATAGAAACATCAATGATGAGAGAGAATCATTGATTGGCTGCCTCCTGCCTACCCTCTACTGGGGATCGAGCCCACAACTCGGGCATGGGCCCTGACCTGGAATTGAACTGTGACCTCCTGGATCATAGGTCGACTGTCAACCATGCTACCAGGCTCAGGTTTTACAATGAAATTCACAACACTGATTCCATGTCGAGGTGGAAGGTATCAGCCGTGAAAACATATCCATGAGCCACCACATTGGCCCGTTCTAGTAACCTGTTTCCTGATGTTATAAGAAGATGACCTGCAACCCGTTCAGTACATTTGAATCTCTGATCTGAAGGAGACTCTACAGCATTTTGTAGAGACACATGGATTATTGTTCATGCAAATGTGGGTCTTATTGTCTTGCGTCCAGCAGGAAATGACTCCTGGATGAATGAGATGAAATCTTTGTGTCACTCTCGCCAAAGGGTCTGAGTGTCTGCAGCTTAGGGCTTGTGCCACCAAATGGTGAGCCTGGGAAGGGACTAAATCATAAGGAAGATTTTATGAGAATGTTCAAAAATATCACCATGTCTGAGTAGGCTGTGATTCAAACTGTGCTTTGAGTTATTTAATGTGTCGACATCAGAAACGTCCTAACCCGTCTCTTTATAAGAGTTTATTTGAGCCCTGACCAGTTTGGCTCAGTGGATAGAGCGTCAGCCTGCGGACTCAAGGATCCCAGGTTCGATTCCGGTCAAGGGCATGTACCTTGGTTGCGGGCACATCCCCAGTAGGGGGCGTGCAGGAGGCAGCTGATCGATGATTTCCCTTCCTCTCTGAAATCAATAAAAATATATCTTTAAAAAAAGAGTTTATTTGAACCAAACGGATAACATATGTTGGGGAGCAAGATCTCCAATGCCTATTTTGTGAACATTTGAAATGAAGGAGTGAACGTTAGCCAGGTTCGAGACAGTAAGGTGGGGATTGGATTACGGGATTGTCAAGGAGCTTACGTGGTCTCTTGAGGGTGGACACCCCTTGTCAAAGGGGTATTACCTCTGGCATTTCAGAGATGTGTTAAGCTAGCTGCACAGGAACAATAGACAGAGCCGGCTTAAAACCTGTCACTAAAGAAGTTATAGGCCTGGGTGTGAAGTTATAGGACCATCTGCCCAGACCAGCCAGCCTCGTTAGGAATTTGTGATAAGACTAGAGGCCTAGTGCATGAAATTCGTGCACTGGGCATGGGGGGGAGGGTGTCCCTCAGCCCAGCCTGCACCATTTCCCAATCTGGGACCCCTAGGGGGATGACCAACTGCCAGTTTAGGCCTCTCACCGTCCGGGACTGCTGGCTCCCAACCGCTCTCCTGATCGCCAGCCAGCCTGATCACCCCTAGCCACTCCCCTGCAAGCCTGACCGATGCCTAACTGCTCCCCTGCCAGCCCAATTGCCCCCAACTGCTCTCCCCTGCTGGCCTGGTCGCCCCTAACTGCCCTCGCCTGCCGGCCTGATTGCCCACAACTGCCCTCCCCTGGCAGCCGTCTTGAGACCACATGGGGGTGGCCATCTTGTGCGAGGGCATGATGGTCAATTTGCATATCACCTCTTTATTATATAGGACAACCCTGTGAGGTTACTGTCCGTCGAATCTCTTTTCTTCCCATCCACCCATAAAATCATAAGAATCCATTAGCACAGTAGCATGGCCATTCCTTCTCATTGGGTCAAGGAAATTCTGGTGTATGCGGGTCATTCTGGTGTCCATTGGTCATTGGGTGCTTCCTTTCCCAATAAATTCCTGGGTTTATTGGAAAATAATAATTAAGCATCTATGCATACTATTCATGTTACTAGGAAACCCCTGTGTGGGCTCGGGCTTCCTGTCACTGTGTCCAATAAGGAAAGTAGGGTTGAATCCTACAAGGCATTTATTGAGAAGGCCAGCCCACCAAGAAGACAAGCACAAAGTTGTGTCTTCCAGCAAGCTTCAGGGGATAGGATTATAAAGGGGAAGGGGCAGGGGTGAGGCTGAGAATGGAATGCAGCTCTGTGCAACCTTGGGGGAACGCAGACATCAGTTATTGTCCTTGGTCATTAGGTGATGAGATGATGTGGACCAGATGATGTGGGTGAGGCCAGCCCACCAAGAAGACAAGCACAAAGTTGTGTCTTACAGCATGATTCAAGGGATAGTATTATAAAGGGGAAGGGGCTGGGGTGAGGCTGGGAATGGAATGCAGCTCTGTGCAACCCTGGGGGAACGCAGATATCAGTTACTGTTCTTGGTCATCAGGTGATGAGATGTGGACGAGATGATGTGGATGAGACGATGTGGGTGAGATGATGTGGGTGAGATGATGTGGATGAGACGATGTGGGTGAGATGATGTGGGTGAGATGATGTGGATGAGACGATGTGGGTGAGATGATGTGGGTGAGATGATGTGGATGAGACGATGTGGGTGAGATGATGTGGGTGAGATGATGTGGATGAGACGATGTGGGTGAGATGATGTGGGTGAGATGATGTGGATGAGACGATGTGGCGAGATGATGTGGGTGAGGTGATGTGGGTGAGACGATGTTGACGAGATGATGTGGGTGAGATGATGTGGACGAGATGATGTTTTGACTCCTGGTGGGTCGGCCTGACCCTGCGTATCAGTTCTCTTTGCTGGATTCACAGCTGAGTCACCACCCCATCGCTTCCCACAGGCCTTGAAAAGGAAACTTATGAAAAAATTAACCCCCTCTTCCCATAAGTACATTTTTTCTAAGATGTAAAATAATAGGATTATTTTTTAGATTAATTCCGGTGCTTTATCTACCTGATTATCAATCCCCCTATCATTGATTCAATTGCTTTTCAGCATGCTGGACTCAGCAGGGAACAAATCAGACACAATTTTCCACCTTCGTGGTAAGAGGCATGCCAGGAAAAATAATAAGAATATGTAAATTATCTTACTATCTATCATCTATCTATCTATCTATCTATCTATCTATCTATCTATCTATATAAAAGCCTAAGCAAACATCTGACCATTCAACCATTCTACCGGTAGCTATGATGCGCACTGACCACCAGGGGGCAGACGCTCAATGCAGGAGCCACGGTGACTTGGCTGCTGTGGTTCTCAGGTGACACACCCAGAACCAGAGAGGAGGGAGACCGATTGTGGGGTGCGTCACCCGCGAACCGCCCTCTCGCAATCCAGGACCCCTCAGGGGATGTCGGAGAGCCGGTTTCTGCTTGATCCCCACAGGCTAGGCCGAGGAACCCCACCTGTGCACGAATCTGTGCACCAGGCCTCTAGTGTCATAACTTAGAGGCTAGTTAAATCCCACAGAAAGGTACAGCAGAGAAGGATGGAGAAAAATAGAGCAGAAAGAATTCTGGGAGGGGTCTGTGTGCTATTTTAAACAAAATCACCCCCTTAGTGCCCTCCCCTGCTGGCCTGATCACCCTCTAACTGCCCTCCCCTGCTGGCCTGATCGTCCCCTAACTGCCCTTCCTTGGGAAAGTACCGTTGGGCAAGAACCCATGAGCAGCCCAAGAAAATAGGGTTCTGTGGGCGTGTACCGCTGACCCCATCAGGTGTCTGCACATGGTGGGCGCTGAGCAGAGATGGACTTTATTGAGGGTGATTTACATTTTTAAATGTTCTTAGATCAGTCATTATTTTAACTGCAACTTCATTGCTTTGCCCCGTAGGAGGCAAAGGCACGGCCGGTTGGGAAGGCGGGATCCGGGTGCCCGGACTTTTCCGATGGCCCGGAAAATTGCCCGCCGGAAACGTCATTGATGAACCTACCAGCTTGATGGATATCTTGCCAACGGTAGCGGCGTTGACCGGAGGCATCGTCCCTCAGGACAGGTGATGCCATGTAATCTGTTAATGGAGCTTTTCTTTACCTTTATCTTGAGAAGATTCAGGTCCAGGGAGATAAACTCTATCCTAATGGGTACACTTTCTCCGCAGAACCCAGGTAATTTCCACCTTTGTCTAGGGCTAAATCTATTGACCGTTACTCATACACCGGGCATCCATGATGTAGTTCTACTAGAGGCCCGGTGCACAAGCCTAAGCCAGCAGTCGGACATCCCTCTCACAATCCGGGACTGCTGGCTCCAAACTGCATGCCTGCCTGATTGCCCCTAACCACTCCCTTGCCA